TAAAAGGTAAAATGGCATAATTGACTATAATGCTCATCCACAAGTAAGAATCACTGTGGTCTATCTCAGTAGCAATACTTTCAATCAGGAAACTGAGGCAAAAAGAGGCAAAGTGATATGTCCCTATTTTACTCAGTACATAAATGGAACAGCAGATTTTCAAACCCAGGTCAGTCCAACACAAAGTCTATTTCCTTCGGACCGCCCATGCTACCCATCTGTGCCTATTCAGGTCCGTATGACCACGGTGGGTGTACAATTTGCATATCAAAGTAGGCAAGTTTCTTTCAAGTCTGAGTAGGTGCACACTACTGGTATGGACTCCAGGGATTACTACCAGAGGGGTGAGCTTCTTTAGGTACAAATATTTGGCTAAACATGTTTGTATAGCCTAGCCCCCGAGCATGAGAACAGTTTCCATCTGGCTGTGCCCACTAAATGGTGAGGCACTAGGGACTCAACCCAGCTCACAAACACTGGCAGAATACATGAGTGAATAAATGAATAAATGTACATAAAAATAAATGTCACCAAACGACAGTGATTCTGGCTGGAATTTTATTTCAGGTTTCCTGTGCCCATAAGCAGGTTGGGAAACAGTGATCTTTCTACTTCAATTTCATTACTTTTGCATCCTTTTATTTTATCTAGACCAGAAAAAGAAACAGTTGCTAATTTGTTAACCTTTGCCAATTTGGGAACAAATTTAATTCCATTACGTATCTGCTCACAGGTATTCTACAGTATTAAATATTGCCACCAGAGAACTGTAGAATAGGAAAGGTCACGTGGTTTAGCCCTGACACTTGGGAACAAACTCTCCTGCAGCTGTTCTAGGGTTTTGGAAGTCACTGCCTTGCTTTGCTTTCAGTACCCTCCAATATCAGTCCCCAAATATCAATCCACATGGCAGCAGGAGGTCCCGGCTTTGCAGAACAGTTTTAGTTTTACATAGATCATTATTAACAGCAGCCACTTTCACCCTCAAAAGTGTCTTGGTTTAGACAATGTATTATATAGTCACACTTCCTAAGCCCACAAGTATTTATAATATGCACTTCAAGTTTTGGTTCAAAAAACCTATTTCCATTTTTCTCTGACACATGCTCATGCACGGCTCACGACTGCCACCTCCTTTGTACAGAGCTTGCCCCACCTCTGAGTTTGCTCATGTTCCTCTTCCCTGCCCGAAATGCTCTCCTTCTTCAAACTCACTTATGTAAATCTTACCCATCTTTCAAAACTGAGCTTGAACCCCATTTCCATGAAGCTGCCCCTGTCTGCTTCAACCCACACTGACTTCTTCCTTCTCTTAACTTCTACTTGTGATATTTGCTTTGCTAAAATAGGAAAGGAGTGAAAGGCACATCGGAGATGATGGATTTACTCCTCCCCTGAGCACTCTGCCTGTATTTTGTTTAGGAGCCTGCAGGTAGTACCTGGTTATGGTAATTTAGTCCCAGCCCCAACAGGTAGGCTTTCTTCAAAGGTGGTTCATTAAAAGAAATTAGAATATAAATACATGATCTGTTTATGCATACTTCCCCCCCCCCCCAAAAAAAAAAAACTGTTGTTCTAAGAAAACTGCAAACAGAGCATTTAAACTAAAGACTTGCCTGGAGAACTCTGTGTCTGACCTCTTGCCCAAAGCAGCTGTGCTTCCCCAACTACAGCATCCTTGAAAGATGGCCAACCATGTTATCCACAAACACACATCCCTCCAGTCAATCTCTCCAGGCACCCTGTTCCCTTACTGGGAAGCTCGGACTGACTAAGTGCTTTCTTATCATACGGTATTTCTCAAAGTTAGGTTTGCGGACCATCTGCACCAGAATTATTTGAGGTGCTTGTTAAAATCACAGACTCTCAGCCAGGTGTGGTAGCTCACACCTGTAATCCCAGCACTTTGGGAGGCCGAGGCGGGTGGATCCCCTGAGGTCAGGGGTTTGAGCCCAGCCTGGTCAACATGGTGAAACCCCATCTCTACTAAAAATACAAAAATTAGCTGGGTGTGGTGGCTTGCACCTCTAACCCAAGCAACTCAGGAGGCTGAGGCAGGAGAATCCCTTGAACCCGGGAGGCAGAGGTTGCAATGAGCCGAGATCACACCACTGCACTCCAGCCTGGGCAGCTGAGCAAGACAACATCTTAAAAAAAAAAAAGGAAAAAATCACAGACTCCCAAGTCCAACTCCAAGCATACTGAATCAGGATTTGGAGCAAAAAGGGAAACAGGAGCGTGCATTGTTAGGTTTCCAGGTAATGTTTGTTTATTGTTATAAAGCTAGAGTCGGTGGATTCTACCTCTATGACTTTTCCATTTTTAACAACAGATAGCAAGTCACTTCGCTTTTCTTCAAATTAACTCTTCAAATACTGGAAGACATCTCCCTGCCTTTGCTCCTAATACTCAGTTGTAACCCATGGAATCTAACATTTCTTTACAACAAGCTTCCATCCCCTAAGCCAACCTGGGCACCCCGCTCTGGGTCCTCTGCTGCTTGCTGATGTCTCTCTCAAAATGGGATGCCCAGAGATGACACGCACCTCACAGTGTGAGGTGGGGAGAGAGACTGAGAGGATTTTCAGTGCTTTCAGTACACACTGCCAATTTTGTGAAGGACAGTGTATCTACTTACACTCCTGGCAGCTGATGATGAGCCTGTCCATTTCAGCCTAACCCAACCAGCAGTTAAGTATTACCATTTTATAAATCTTTGCTAATTTAATAGGCACATGAAGTTGACCCCGAGTTGTTTTAATTGGGATGCCTTTGTATTCTTCAGATATCTATTGGCAATTGGTAGTTCTTTTGTAAATTTTCAGTCCTCGTCCTTCCTGGGTTTTTTCTTTTTTGCCTTTAATTCATTAGGTCAGTTGCTGAGCCAAGTAAGCCCTTTCTATGTATCATCTCACCAAATCCTCAAAACAGCGTTTCCCCCACTTCATAGGCAAAGAAACTGAGCTTTAAGAAACTTACAGAAGTTAGGTCTTCAGCTTCCTCACTGATTTATTCCTTCATTTAATCAACTTTTTTTTTGCAGGAGAGTTCTTCATCTTTCAGACATTTTGTAATATAAGTTAATAGGGCCAAGTACCTGGTATGAAATTACGAGGAAGCTTCAGAAGGAAACTGGGAATGTTCTCAACTCTGTTTCTTCCTACCTCTAGCTAAAATTTCCTTTATTCCCTTTGTTGCTTTTCCTGGCCTAAAGGTATTAGTGAACAAGTAATAATCGTTCAGTGGATAGCAATGCTATTTACTGATAGAAGGTTTAAGGAGAATATATGTATCTATTCATATATTTGTCAAGAGAGGTAGCCATCCCCTAAAAAGTAACAGAAAGGGATTAAAGGGAGCAATTTGGAAATAAGGGATAACTCTGTAAAAAATCATAGTCCATCATAGAAATTGTTCAAAAGTATGTATGCAAGTAATACTGGCTTTCATTTTTTCCATTTTATATTCTCTTAAATCCCAAGACCAGTGTTTACGCAATTAACTAAGACCCTAATGTTAATTCATTATTTACAGCATTTTAGTCCAAACAGCTGAGATTCTCATGGATTTGGTTAATTTAATCAAATTTCATGCAATTATACTTTAATTAAAAATACATATGCATAAAGTTGAAATCCTGATATTTAAGTCAACTAAATTTACAACAAAATTAGAAGAGATGCAAATGATTAATTACAGATCTACAAACAAAATTAAAAATAATTTAATCCTACTCTCCGTTTTAGAAGGTAGCCAAGGCCCACAGGTCACAAGTTCTCAATGTCACACTCTGAGCAGTAACATTGAGATTCTGCTCCAGGTTTCCCGACTTCCAATCCAGAGCCTGTTCATCTGGGTCTTTCCCTGACATTGATTCCCAACTTCACTTAAACAGGCCCTGTTCTCCCCAGAACACTCAAAACTCTCCAAATGAAACTTACAAACTAGTAGTTAAAACAGCTAAAGCAACGAAAAAGGTTGTGGTTCTGGGACTTTATGCTTTCAGGCAGCCTGGTTAAAATCATTGGGGGCTATACACATTCTTCCATAAGCTTTGATGGAAACTCAATTTATTCCATATTAGTTATTAACAAACACATATTCCTTCGCAATTTCAAGGCCCTACATTTTGCTGCAAATATTTCTTTCAGATAATAAACAAATATTTTTTTAAAAAAGCATTATATGAATTCTGGTGCTCATTTCCCCAAATAAGAAAGAATACATCTTTTCTTTCTTCTTTACTATCCTAAGCTTCCCATTACTCTCTGTTTGGACCCATCATTTAAAACTACACACAAACTTTAAGTTCAATTTCTCAACACTATGGTTTTGATATCTCCACAGTGCAGCACCTGGCAGCCACACTTACCTCACAACATAAAGAGAATTTTAACCCTCTAAATAGATTGTTCTAAATAGGGACACAAAGCAAATTTTAAACAACAAACGTTACTCCAATTGACCTGACTGTTGATTGTTTGTTTACATTATTTCTAGAATTGGATCCTCCAGAACTTAGTCTGGATTATTTGTTCGCCTACACCCATTCCCAGCACAGATGTTTCCCTGTCTTTCCACCTTCACCCATCAGTAAAGGCCCCACTGTGGCCACTCCCCTACCGACAGAGCCCCTTCCTCCACACACAGGCCTTCGCCTCACCCAAACAAACCCTCCACAAGCAGACACTACTTCGTACACATTTACCCTCTACCCCACCACCAACACACAAAAACCTACCCTGGGCATCATTATAAAGTAACACATGACACCAAGGCCTGGCCTGCATAATTGAACCCTAAAACCATTACAAGCGACAACCTGAAAGCCATGTTAACTTGAGAAACTCTCTCTCTGTAAACCTTGAAAACATCCGGGAAGCTTTCCATCTCACAAGGACAGGCTCGTTCAGACCTCCCCTTGGAAATTTAGGCAAGGTGACCCCTCTATTCATTCAGATCCGCAGGCCTTCCCCCAACAACACAGAGCCCACACTCACTGCAAATCTGACTTGGCAGTTCTCCTCTCCAAGGTAGCATAGGTCTCCCGAGACGTTCGTCTCCAGCCACAGGTGTTCTCCATTCACGGCATTCTCCTGCAAGGAAAAGACCCACCTGACATCAATTTTCTTTTCCAGGGATAAGGAAGACTATTTCAAATTTAAATTTGGGATACAAGAAAGTTAGTGAAACAAAGGAGCCTAAACATTCCTCATTTGACCACTCAAAGTACTGCTAGAGTTGATTCTACTGAAATTCTAAAAAGGGAGAAATGTGTTTGGAAAAACTTTGAGCTATAACTAAAATAGACATTAGGTTTATAGCTGCTTTATCCATGGAGGTGGTCATTTTTGAAACATATTCAACAAACGGGGAAAAAACACCTCGAAACAGTTTGATGTCAAACCTTATTCACCAAGTCCACCACTGCAAATTTCATGACAACTGAGACTAAAATTATTTAAAATTTGACTTTGCTCAGTGAATAAGCTTAACAAATTAGCTAAAAAAGAGGACGACAGCATTAAAGTATTTTAAGTAAAGACAGTTTGAAAACACAATTATACCAGTAACAGGTAAATTATATTTCTAAGGGCAGAGGCTTCTTAAAACTAAGTTCCTGTGTACTCAAAGCATAATAAGTTTCTACTAATTCACATCTTACTAATTCAGTAAGGTCTTCACCCAATTACTTCTCAATTTTTCAAACTAAATGTTATTGCTTCTAAAAATATTCATATACTTTGGATGGGGAACAGAGCTGCTAGAATGTATGACCTGATGAGCAACAATCCTATTTTACAGAAATGTGTGGAAAGGGGGAAGTAAACCTTTTTTTTTTTTTTAATAGTATGATGAATAGAATTCCATATTCCTTCTTATGGGATACTACCTTGGAAATTATACATTTATATATTAATTGTATATTTTGCTCATTTGCTTAAAACGGGCTCTGAGCTGTTAGGAAAAGTATTGTATTAGATTAACCATAAAGAAACAAGACTAAGTCCCCATGTCTCACAGGAAAATTACTCTTGTTTTTACCTTACTCATCAGATGTACATGGGCATGTAATTATTTGTTATGGGGGATGCTATGGACTGAACTGTATCCCCTCAAAATTCATACGTTGGCCAGGCATGGTGACTCACACCTGTAATCCCAGCACTTTGGGAGGCTGAGGCGGGCAGATCACTTGAGGTCTGGAGTTTGAGACCAGCCTGGCCAACATGGTGAAACCCCATCTCGACTAAAAAAAATACAAAAACTAGCTGGGTGTGGTGGTGGGTGCCTGTAATCGCAGCTATTCAGGAGGCTGAGGCAGGAGAATCACTTGAACTTGGGAGGTGGAGGCTGCAGTGAGCCGAGATCAGGCCACTACACTGCAGCCTGGGCAACAGAGTGAGACTACACCTCAAAAACAAAAAATTATTACTTTATATATATATATATTCCTATGTTGAATCTCTCACCCTCAATGTGATGGAATGTGGAGATGAGACTTTGGGAAGTAATGAGGTCACAGGGGTGGAGCCCTCATAATGGGATTAGTGTCCTTATAAGAAGAGACACATGAGAGATTCTCCACATGTACACACCAGCGAAAAGCCATGTGAGCACACAGCAAGAAAGCAACTGTCTGCAGGTGATGAAGAGGACTCTACCCAGGACTGGAATCTGCCAGCACCTTGACCTTGCACTTCCCAGCCACCAGAACTGTGGGAAATGAAGTCTGTTGTTTAAGCTACCAAGTCTATGACATTTTGTCATAGCAGCCTGCGCAGATGACTTCAATACAATCATGTCATGAAAACTCATCTTATACATGAGCCACTTTTATTATAACCTACTCCAGCAGTGTCCACACCATAGCCCTTTGAATCTCAAAGCTTAGTACAGCAAAGCAGAAATATACAACAAATGGCCAGGAGCAGTGGCTCACGCGTATAATTCCAGCACTTCAGGAGGCTGAGGTGGGCAAATCACTTGAGGCCAGGAGCTTGAGACCAGCCTGCATAACATGGTGAAACCCCACCTCTACTAAACATACAAAAATTAGCCAGGCATGGTGGCAGGCACCTGTAATCCCAGCTACTAAGGAGCCTGAGGCATGAGAATTGCTTGAAACCCAGGAGGCAGAGGTTGCAGTGAGCTGAGAAAGTGCCATTGCACTCCAGGCTGAGCAATGGATCGATATTCTGACTCAAAAAAAAAAAAAAACAGGAACCTACACTCCATGACATTTGCTGGGAAAAAATACCAAGTGTCACCCATCTTTTAAAATAAACGTATTTCTTCAGAATCAGATAGAACACCTTTTCCTTTCAGGGCCTAGTGACTCAAATAATTCTGGGGTGAGAACAACCAAATTTGTATTGTGGCATGTGACCTAGGTGCTTCAGGATCCAAGAAAGGTGGGTCCAAGTCCTGGACTGCAGAAGTGAGGCAGGAAGGCACAAGAGAAGGTAAAAGGCACTAGAGATATAGGTGTCAAGGGCTCCAGGACATAACACAGGGAGCCCCTGGGGTGGGAGTGCACCATCCACATCTCTGAGTGCCTCGAAACCATTCCTAAAGGGAGAGCAACACTGACCAGGATCATTGCCCTCTACATCAAAGGGTGGACATCTGTTCACCAAAACTTTTTCTTCTCTACTGTAATTTTTCCCTGTTGCAAGTTCCATTTTTTTCAAGGAAGTCAATGGGAAAATAGGCTTCACTTCACAGTCAATCTTGTGGGACAACAGCAGAGGAAAGAGAAGCATAGCTATGGGTTCAGAATCTAAAAGTTTTCAGATAGCGATGGATGATGACATTTTTTTAAAAAGTAGAAAAGCACTTCTTTACAAGGTATCCTGAAGAAATCAATCCACACAATCTAAAATATTCTACTGGGAACTTTTCTCCAACTCTAAGTTATAACCATTTATTCAGAATAATGCTTTTTCATTTTATTATTCTTTAACTTATTCAACAATCCTTTATTCGGTAACACTGGTGCCAGGCACTGAGATTCTGTGTTAATCAATGGAGAAAAATCTACGAGAGAAGATGGAACTAAATGCATAATAACAGCAGCCAATATGAGGGAAACCACAGCCAAATTCCATCAACTACTTTAGAAAGTGAAGCCTAAAATGTAGCAGTGGGTAAAATGTCAAAACCTACTGATAAAGCAATGAGCTTTCAGCTCCAAGAAAGTAATCTCTAAGCCCATGGAACGTCCTGCCTGATAAGAGTGTTTTGTTTGTCTGAGGGCCTTGGGTCATAAGGTATCAACTTGACTCCCAGAGGGGCTAGGGGCTAATGTCAACCAAATGGGCAGTCAACCCTGTCTACAGGACCAACCCCCAGTTAAAACTCTGGACATCAAGGTTCAAATGAGCTTCCCTGCTTGGCACTATGCCATGTATATTATAGCACATGGTTGCTAGGAGAAGTTAGCTAGTGAACCATGATTCTACTTGGAAAGGACTGTAATAAACCGTAAATGTGAGTATTAACAACTTTCAGGGAGTTCCATGAGTGTTTCTAGTGAGTTACTGAAGCTGAGTGCAGTCTTGGGGGTTCCCGAACTTGCAACTGATGTCAGAAGAGGGGATAGTCTCAGGGACTCTTGAATCCTGCATAAAGTTGTCTAGACTGGGTGGCATTAGCAAAAGAATGCAGTAGACAAATGAACTAGTTTTGTTTTCTTCCTACAATTCTCATGAACCCTTCTCCAGATCCATGTTAACTAACATGAGCTTTGGAGTCAGACTTGTTGCCTAATAGCTATATGACTTAGGGCCCTTCTCACTTCCCTAAACCCTCTTCTACTCATCAGTCACATAAAAATCACTGTACCTCCTTTACTGGACTACAGTGATGTTTAAACATAAAAATGCGTAAAGCCCAATGTTCCGCATAAAACAAGAAGTTAATAGACGTTCGTTATATTTATTGGTGTCGCCGTTACTCTAGTTTCCCTTCTTCCTCCTAATCCACAGATGTTAACATTAACCACGTTTCTCTCCTTGGTCTTTGTGGCCAAGACTGCTAGCCATTCCTCAAAATAATTATTTTTCCTTTTCTTAGACACATAGTCAGACTTTATTTCCCCAGTCTCCCTTGCAATTAGGTGTGGCCATGTGGCCAAATTCTGAACAGTGAAACAGAAGCAGAAATTCCAGACTTGTTCCATTAAATCCTCCCACATGCATTCCTCCATGGTCTTTTATCTCACTGGTCAATTGGGAAGTCAGCCTTTTGGAATCCTCTTGGTGGGATGTCAGAGCGATCCTCAGCATGGGTCACTGAATAGCTGTGTGACAAAGGGCCTGACTCCCCACCCAACCACCTGGAATAGTCTTGGTCTATCACATAGGCGAGACACAAACCTCTCTTGTATTAAGCCATTATACATTTGAGTCTTTTACTTGCTGCAGAGCCTCATTTACCCCCAGCAAATGCAGGCCTCTTCCTTTTGCTTTTATTGTTGTCTAGGTTTCATTTCATTATCTGACTATACCCCCCAGTTACTTACTATACGCTGGACAGTGCATCTAAAATTTCGGAGTCTTGGTTTCTTCTGCTCTGAACTCTGACACCCTCTCTGATTTATTTTACATTAGTATAAATTTAGTTCCCCCAAAAGACAGCCATGATTATGCCTCTCCCTTGTTCAGAATGCTTAGATGTTTCCCTATTTATAAGATAAAATCCAAATTCGAGCTGGCATGCTAGACTCCAATAATAGCATCAATCACTCTCTTATCCTTGTCACTCTTAAAAAAAAAAAAAAAAAAAGACAGGGCCTTGCTCTGTTGCCCAGGCTGGAGTGCAGTGGCATCATCACAGCTCACTGCAGCCTCAGTGAGCTGGACTCAAGCAATCCTCCCACCTCAGCCTCCTGAGTAGCTGGATTACAGGCGTATGCCAACACACTGGGCTCCCTGTCACTCTTCTTTAAACATACCTCGCACTTCCCTTTTTGGTGCCACGTTTTTGTTCATTCTACTGTCCCTACCTGGAAACATCTTTCTCTCTTCTCTACACATGTATCTTGAAATACCATCTCAAATAGTACACCACTCAAAGAGTATCCATCTGTGCC